CTCTCCAGTACTGCAAAGAAAATAACTAATCTCATAGAATAACTCAGGTAAACTTCCAATGCTGTCATCCCCAAGACAACCAAACATCCTCTCCATGTACATGATTATGATACGAACACAAGACTGAGGGGATAGGAAGGGCAAAAGGAGAGAGAAGAGGACAGAAAAATCCTAGCTGCACTTTCCTTTCTCCAACCTTTGCTAACTTAGTTGCTAATACTGCTTAACTGACTCCATGACAGAACACGGGTTGTGCTTTAAGATAGTGCCTCAGAAATGAACTCAGAAATGTAGTTGAGGAAAAGTGGGAAAATACTTGTATATGAATCGTACATAAAGATAAGGTCTTACACTGAACTCTACCCTTCGTCAGTGACAGTATTCAAGCCTTTACACCTACCAAGTAGAGAAAAAAAGAAAAAAAAGAATCTTAATCAGTACTTGTATTTGAGATTTAAAATGTCAAAAGGAGCAGCACGCAAAATTTAGTGACGCAATTTTTCATTCTCACTTGATTAATCAAAATGCAAAATATGATGTCCATGCAAAGGAAATACTATAGTTCGTGTAAAATAGTTGACTCAAGCCTGCAAAGGCTTGTATAGAACTTTTTCAGAGGAGCTGCATGAAAACAAAGTGTGAAAACCTGTTGTTTCATCCAAAAATTATGCCAAGAAAAAGCATGTTGCAGGGAGCAACAACTCTGCTCATTCTCATTTTCAAGACTGCATGCTGATGACAGTTAAAGCACATCCCCTTCATTTATTCTGATTCCTCAAAGTTCATCATATGTCCTATTTTGCTTGCCTAGGCCCTACCTTCCTCCCCTTCAACTATGGAGAATTTTTAGTATGAGATTCTCTCTCCCTATTTAACAATTTTCTACTAAAAAGCATATTTTATGAATAAGCTATAGCCAAATATGATAATTTGAAGAGCATCTGAGTTCCCAGACACATTTTTAGTACTTTCATCCTTCCATGCTCAAGGCAACATTTCTAGACCTTCCACAGAAATTATGATGACCTAAACTATTTTATTGCAGCATTCACTGTGATCTTTTTAGATCCTGTAATTACCCAATCACATAATCCCTGCAGAGCTAAACAGATACCTTCTTTCAGAAGCAGTCAGTTCACTCACAGTACTTACAAAGTCAGAAAGTTTGTTCCGTTAATACTAATGGCATTTCCTACTATGGAATGAATTACATGCCATAAAACAAAAAAATTTTATGTTAAAAAAAATCCCTTGAGGTCATAAGAGATTACACTGTTAAATAGGAAAGTTTCAGCATGGCATTGAAACTAGATTGAATACCATCCTAAGAAACCCAAAAATTAAATGAAAAACAGTAACTTTTTCCCCCATTAATGTCTCAACCAAATATGTTTGCTACCAACTTTAAAGAAAGTCTTACTATTCCGATTTTTAAGTATTTTGGTATGCTTTGTTTTTTAACTGATCAAGACATATATTTTCCACTACACTCATTCTTCAAAATACAGATGGAAGGGGGTAAGAATTTACAAGACATAACATCATTATACAATGTACTATACAAAAACCTGTCATTTAAGTTGCAAGAAACCTAGTCATCAATAAGTGAAAAAATACCCCGCTCAAAAATCAATTATGTTGAGTCTTTTGTATAGAGAAGTAGTACACCTTTCAGGCAACTGGTATTAATGAGCAGACACGGCTATAGAATCTCCATCTGTTTTTCTGACAAAGCTGTGACTACTCCAGTCTCTCATTGAAATTCCATTAATCTGGTGCACCAAGGACCAATGCGAAAATCAAAACTCCATCTAACCCTTTATCAGCTCACAATAACCTACAAGTGAACTCTGCCTGTTAGCATACAGCAAGTTATGATTTTGCTATCAATCAGGCTGTTAGCCAATAAAAAAAAAAATCAAGTTAAGAAAGGAGTGCCTGGCAGTGCTGTTTTGTTTTGTCTGTCTTGTTTTGGGGTTTGTTATTTTATTTGGGGGTTTTGTTGTGTTTTATCCCTTTTCCAGTTTCTGTAGGGTGTCTGGACATGTTAGCCTATGCATCATTCTCCTTCGTTGTGATTTAATTGCTGCCAGCAATCAAGTCAAAGCATCACTGAAGTGTGCTTGAATTTCATTAGAAGATATAACTTATGCTACTTTCCTACAGTACCTAATAAACCATAAAGAAACCAAAACACATATGGCTTGAGGGAATAACTGGAAAATTAGGTGGCCATTTGGGAACTGAGTGAACTTTTGAACCACAGGAACAGAGAAAAAGAAATATTAAAAGGAAAGACAGACTTAGAATGCACACAGAGACGTGGGGGTTTGACCTTTTCAGTACCTAGAAAATTACATTAGCATTATGAAAAATACATATCATGTTTAGAGTTTATAATCCATCAAAGTTTAGATACTTTGTTAGTGCCTACCATAAGGTAAAAGTCAAAAGGACAACATAACAATCAGATTTGACAAAAGGCCTTTAGGTGACCTGTGCTAATTTAGTTATCCCATACTTATTGTTAAATGGATTATCTCTCTTGTAATTAATACACCATTAGACAAAGGTCACACAAAAACTCTAGGATTTTACAATGACTGTAATGTACATGTAATACACTAATTCTTTATCTGTTACCAAGCAGGTGCCTTCACAAATTATATTTTGACAGTAAGACTGCAAAGTCAAATAGTGACACTTTCAGAAGTCATACAAACCTTGCAGTCTAACTAACGTATATAAAGGTAAATGCCTGTTTTGTTTGGGGTTTCTTTTAGTAGAAAATGTATATAAGAAGTTTTACATAAAAATATGAATGGGCTCAAATATAAATAAAAAACACTTCAATTTAGTTATCTACAGTTAGGCCCTTCTGTTAACTAAACTGATAACTATGTAAGATCAAACATCTACCTTACAGATCCAGCTTTTTGAATAGGGTTTAAATATTGGACATTAACAGGCTGCTAAAAACCCAAAATAGAGTTTTAAGCTTTAGCAAACCCATTCATGCCTATGAGAACTGAAACAAATGGCACCTCCGAGGTTCAATCCACCTCTTATAAGATTCTCCCAATGTGGCTAGACGTGAATGATGGACTATATATATTAAAATCAAAACAGTCTTAGAATGACACATTGGGCATTCAAAGAAGAAAACAGAAACGCTCCTCCAATAAATGAAAGTATTTACAGATCAAAGTCTACCACCTTTTCCTCATGCTACACTCCCACTAGATAATTAAAGGGGATTTATCATAAAACATAGAAAGACCAGTGAGGTAGAATCATCTTAAATATAACAGAATTGCACCCACTGTATTTCTACCTAAACTGGAATGAATTAGCCAAGACACTGTTGGGCAGCTATTATACCTACTCTCATAATTATAACTTCCAAAATAGGCTAAAAATTGATCACCCATCTGCAGAGTCATACAGTATTTCATATACTCTTGCATCAGCATTCTTAAGCCATTCATTATTTACATTTATGAACATTACCACCTTTTTCTTGATTAACTGTTTTGAAACAAATCTATAATCATATCTCCTATTAAACAGTCACACAATTTTGTCACATATCCTTTATGCAATCAGTACCATGTTATTATGTTACAGTTAGAAATAATGTTAAGATTATGTTTGTAAGCAAAAATAAATACATGGAAAGTTGCATTTATCTGTAGTTTGGAAAATTACCTTGGGTTTTCTAGAAGCCATATTCAATTTGACTGATAATTACATTCAACCAGAAAGCAAAAAGGCTTGGTTTTATTTTTTAATAGAAGGTCACATTGCCAAAATACAACAAGCTCAATATAAAAAAAAAAAAAAAAAAAAAAAAAAAAAAGTGTGATTATTATTGCTACACATTTTACAGAGTTCTGGATATAAAAAAAATTGCATTATTCTGAATCAGTGGTTAGAAGGTTTATCACTTATGCATGTACTTGACTTATCCCTGTTCTGCAATAGACATAATTTTATACCTCATAAAAGCAATTTATGTTTCCAAAGGGAATAATCTGGATAACATAAAATGTGGAGTGCTGTGTTGCAGGAAGCATATTTTCATTCAGCAATTGTATTTTGAGATGGAGCTGCACAGTTTGATCATCATATCATGTCAGAAAACATCATTCACTAGTAAGTCTATCTAACTTCTAGTGCCACAAATTAATATACATCGTTAATTTATTTGTACATGTACTTAATTTATTGCCATGTATTATCCATAGAAGGTATTTATATTATGTATACAATAAACGAATTTCACAAATATGGACACTATGTTAAAGCAAGCTTGTTAACCGTTGAAATATTCAATTGTTCATGTCTTCAGAACAGTCGCATTTAGCATTAAATTTAATGAATACAAAATAAAACAACGTGGAAAACAGCTATGGAGCCTAGATTTTTTTTTTTTAATGCAAACTCAAATTTAAAATTTATATAATGAAAACATTCTACAAAAGACTGTCTTAATGGAAGGAAACATTGTAGGAATAATTAATTTAATATTTTATGAACCTATTCTGCATGGAGTTTGCAGAAAAATATCAATCATGTAAACTGTTTCATTATTTATTAGATAAATAATACAGTGAGCCATTAAGTAGCACAATAAAATTAAGCAAGAATCTGATAATGTTGAATTAACAAACAATTTGTTACTACAAATATTCACACTTTTTTAGCCACTGATCTATCTTTAAAAACATATGCATCTACAGAAGATGCTTTGTTATGAAAAAACATGAGTTTAAAAAAACCATGTAAATTTGAGACAGCTTCACTATGCTCTAGGACCACTAGAGAGAGCTCTTCAGTTCCTTTAAAGGTTCTTGTAAAGGTACGAAAACTGTCCAGCTGTGATGCTTATCTGTTTATCTGATTTCCAACACTAACATTTGCATCACGAGGATCTAATTACATGAGTTTGTAGCAAACTGGCAAACCTGGTAAGTTCTAAGGTAAACAGTACCACATACCATCAGAAGGTGCTTCATCCTCTTTATCATACCGGTCAGATGCTATGGAGACACTATCAGGAGGCGACGAAAAAGAGCCCTCTGACTCTTCCTCATCTTCCAATTCTGGAAAAGTCAAAAATATATTGCTAGTTAAAATAGTCTCTCATCAAATAGTCTATCAAACACAGACAGAATCCAAAGACAAATATTTTCATTAGTAAGAAGGATACCAATTCCTGTCTGAAACGGAAAAAATTCCCATTTCTCACGGACTCTCATAACACGCACTTTGTATGTTCAAGCGCAGCTGTAAGCGCTGCTGGTTTAGGGCTACCTTCTAACCAGCAATGTACATGTGGCTGCAGTGGTTTCCCCTAAACACCATCATATAATGAACCTGCTCCCAGTGCTGCGCAGCTGACAGCTTCTCACACGAGGCGGGAAAGACAGACACACCACAGCAAAGAAGCGGGCAAAGGAGGAAAAACGGGCAGTGCCAAGCTCCAAAGTTCTGCCTGTCCGAGCACAGGAAGGAGCCGCAGAAACTTCCCTCCCAGGAACTGCCAAACGACTTTTGGCAGCAGTTTGTCGCCCTCTGCCCACTTTCACTTTTCTTCACCGTAATTAGGAGCTACTTTGCAAATGTTGTATGTGTATTCCTCCCATGAAACTAAAAATGCAATCACCTTCTGACAGCACCTGGTCTGAACCTGTGGCTTAATACATCATTCTGTCGATGAGGTTTTTTACACAGCTGAGAGCCCTATTGCAATAAATACAAAATCTGCATTATTAGCTAAACTATGCAGTACATTGATTAGAGTGCATTAAGTGTGATGGTCTGGGAAAGGTAAAGTGAAATCAGTGTTAGTCAAGACTTTAATTTAATTAGACAAAATTTAAGTTCTCCCCCCCAAAACTCACTATCTTTTCCGAGATTTTTTTTTTAACATCATCCAGGCAAAGAAGTGTCAAAACAACATAAGCTACATTGTTCCTTAAAAAAAAAAAAAAAAATCGTCTTTGTGACGGAGGAAAATCCAATAATTAAATACAATTTTTTAAAAAAAATCACCAAACCAAAATCATAAAGCTGATGCTCCAACAGATAAAATGACCCTCAATTTTCTTTAAAAGCATATAAAGCTAAATTGCCCAAGCACTGCCTTTTGGTATACTCACATGCAGAAAACTTTCCAGAGACCCCCAGACATGCTTCTCTATTCATGTGTTGCCTTTTAGAGCACTGTGTCAGATAACTAATTTCTCAGAATCAAAAAAAAAAAAATGCATAGTGAAAAATATTCTTCTCCACAGACATATGAATAACATTCATCAGTAGGACTGCCTATCCATGGCTGAGTTTCACCCCTTTACTTCCCATTTAATAATGCAAAATCATGGAAAATTCAGAGTCCGTGCCCAAAAAGCACCAGTTGTTCGCAAAGAACAGCAAGTTTTCTACACAGATAAGACAACAAAGCCTGGTTTTTGCTTTGCTGCAGTTCTTTTACATCCCAAGATTGTTGAATACTAAATTGGTTTTCCCTTCATTAATTTAGTATGCTTTTCTTGGGAAAGCTTCCTTCCAAGCTCCCATGCCATATAACAACTGCTTTGAATCTCAACTTGACTCCAATCTATTTCTGACACAGCCATCTTCCAATAGCACTCCAGCCATCCTGTTAATCTGATCAAAATATTTGCATTTCATCACACCTGTCAAACCAATCAAAAGTAAATTATCCCCCTCCAGGATTCACCTCTTCTTTCAAATAGAAAACCAGAGAGCAGATAGCACACAAACAGAAAACGTTATGCCTTATTTACAACCTGCATGATCATCTTTCACGCTTACATGCCAGAGACCAGTTGCCTATCTCTGTCTATATATGTATCTTCATTAGATTATAGACTCCATATAAAAAGAGCAGACATGATATTCACAACCTATGCAGTATCAACAGCTGTTCCACTCTTTATCTGTCCTAAACTTTTCCTATTACTACAATGCACAGAATATATATACATATAAACCTCCAACACCCTGGTTGTCAGTTGAAAATGTCCTCTTATCAGCTATGCATAAACGTACGAACATTTAACCTTCATGAAGGTGCCAGCATAAAATTAAAATATTAGGCTGTATTTCTAGAGGAAAATATTTCCACAAACACCACACTCCAGCACTCAAAATTAATGGACTGAATAGTAAGTATATCTAAAATATAGTAGCATTTATGGATGAAAATAAGTGAATACAAACACAGGAAGCACATCTCCAAAGAATTTTGCCCCACTCAGCTATACATAATCTCTTTAAGAGAAGTTGTGATTCCTTATGTAAGTTTGCATAGCTGCACTGTTACCCTGCTCTTCCATTAAGTCACAACAGTACCATTTTCTAATTATGCTAAGGATTCCAAATTCAGTAAACCTTTGTGCTTTGCTTTCATATAAAAGTCAGATGATCTGGAAACAATGGAATTTTTATATACATACATATTTAGGGTACACCATGTACATATCCTAGATATATACTTCATTTGAAACAACAAAAAACATGGGCACACCAAATGTGGATTTGCAATAAAACAAGTATTTATCCTAAGTTGAAAAAGTTCAAAATATTCCCAAAACAAAAAACTGATGAAGTATTATGAAGAAAGAAGTTACAAGTTCAGTGCTTTTAAGGGTTCATAGTCTTCAAAGCATTCTCTAGATGTTAAACCCTAAATAAAGGCTCAAAGACTTCCATGGGAAAAAAAACTCCCATGGGAGAAAGACAATCAGAACAAATATACAGGTCCCATGTCATACAATAGCATGTCTACGTACCCACACATTTTTATGTAAAAAAATGTGGAGAATAGGTCACAGACACTAAATACAACTACCAGCAACCTGTAGCCCTGCAAGGGCTTCCATTTTTTATTTTAGATTAAATAAATGTATTTGTAAATGTATATTCTACACTAAAATGCAAACCTTAAATCATCTAATTTGTATGGAAGAACTGCAGCCATTTTGATAGGAGAGTTGACTCAATGTGCTCTGGAGCTTTAACAGGCATTTCACAACATTTTTATGTGCTCACATAAAAGAATGACTACAGGCTAACATCAGCCTTGGTTTTTTGCCTCCTAACTCCAGCAGGATTAAAAGACCTCTTAGGAGCATATGCTATTAATATATAAGGATATCGCTCCTGACAGTTCACAAAGAGGCTTCCTGTTGATTCTTTGGGGTCTCCTGCAATTCCCACTCAGAGTAATCTCTGCCCTTTCTCTACTTCACATGATCCTCCATCGAGGCGTTGCACTGCAGTTTATTCTCCACCTACTGAGGAAGACAAGACAGAATTGCATTTGAAGTTACACATGTTACTCCTTGAACAGTCAGAGGAGTCAGTGTTGAGCAGCACAAGCCACTACTCCTCTCTTCAGGTGCCAAGTACCTAAAAATACACCCGAAAAGCATCAATAAATTAAGGAAAAGCATTCAACTTGCATTTATGTAATAGAAAACCGAACTAGAAAGCAACAATGGGCATCAGGTAAATGTATCCAATACAATTTGCAGGCATAATTGAAAGCATTACTGCCTAATCAGACATCTAAAAGCAAAGCATGCTCAAACGAAATGTCTATAGACTCATTAGTTGGCAGCCATTCCATTACAATCACACATAATGTCAGTAGTGCCTTGAACCTGTGCCAATGACAACAGCATAAATTTTGCATCTCATTTCTGTGGTCATAAAATTAATGATCAGTTTAAAAATACTTCTTTGCAAAAGTTATTGCACAAAGAAATGACATGAATGTGTCCCTGTTATGTAGTCACAAGGATAATTAAGGAGTTGATGCTCATTAATATAGTTTCTTGTTTCCCCAGAATACTGTATGATTTATCTGGAATTTGAAAAAAAAAAAAAGTTTAATTAACAGTAGTTAGTTAACAGTTACAACAATAACAAAAATATGTGTATGAACTGACCCTATTCTCCAGTTTCTGCAATTTAAACCAACCTCTTACAGGTTAGATAGCAGAATCAATATTTTACGTTATCTGTAAAGAAAAAAAAAAAAAGATACAGTGTCTTTCCTTATTAAATGCTACCTTTTCCATTACAGCTTACATATTGATTTAGGAAATACTGCATACCAAAGGGTAAATGTACCTCATTAGGACTGGAGCATAAAAGACAAACTGTCCTCATTGTAACAAGGGCTGCACTTCAGTCCCTGCCCCCTATTCTGAAGATTTCCAACAGATTTAGTGATACAAGCTCAATACAATGAACAGGACCATATTACTTTATAAGAACCCAGTTTTAAAATAAAAAAAAAAAATAAATCCAGACTTTATTTTTTCCCCCCCAGGAATTCAATTTATTCTGCAATACTGTGATTATAGTAATGAACTCCTAAGCATTAAAAGTACTGCTTCAGCCACTAAATCTAAAAAAGAGCAAGCAAGACGTTTCAGCCAATGCCTCCAAAAGATACTTGCTCACTCAGGGTCCCCAAGATCACTAAACTCTTTCATTTTATTCCTAAAAAAGTCTAGACAGAGTGATGCATTAAAATGCCTCAAGTATAAGCAAAATAAAATAACTCACAAAAATAAAAAGACATGCAGGTCAAAAAAACGTGCTTCTTGCCATTTTGGGAGGTCCCAAGTCACAGCAAGTTGAAATCACTTCCTCCCGTCAAATCTCTGCTCCACTAAGAACCCACCAAACAAAGAACTGGATAAAGCCACCAAGCACCTAAATGCAAGGTCCTCACTACATAGTTTTTCACAAAAATAACTAGACAAAGTTGCTTTCAAGTTGGCACAGGTATACTTCAGCCTCTTGATAGCTGCAGCTGATTTTTTAAGACAATGCTACTGACCCAATCCACCAGTCATCCTGCAAGACTGGATTCTTCCGACAGCCACTTTCTCGATGTGTGCTTTGCCATGAAATCTACTCCGACATGCTCAATCCTGAAGTCTTCTAGAGTCTCATATTAACATGACGGTTTTTAATGGCTTGTTTTATAAAGGTCAAGTAGGAATTCTTTAGCAGCTATTTGTTAAAACAATACTGAAACAGCATTAGATTTGCAAGCAAATATGCTTCAAGCAAGAAAAGTAACGCAATTTTTATTTGCTGAGCTGCCCCTCATTTTGATGATGCACATCAGGATAAGACCATTTTGTGCTGCACTGGTGGCTGTATCTTGTGCTGCCTGAAATTGCACTTGGCATGGACACTTCACAGATAACAGCTGCACATAGCTGAAAGGGACACCACAGTGGCTTGTCTACAATGAAACCCTCCAGACTTCCAGGATGGAGTGATATTTGGCACACCTCTAATGCATCTGGATGGTCTCTCCAGAAATACGTCATGATGATCCTCAAAGGACTGCGTAACAACTAAGCTGTATCTTTCCCATTTACGGTTAAATATTAACGATGTATTTATGCTCCTGACTGAAAGCTCAAGTGTTTTAAAATACAGAACTCGCATCCTCTGATGACCACAAGCTACTGCCTCCCTTCTCAAGTCCAAAAAGACTCCTACCTGCTGCCATTTCCTGAAAAATGGAGTGTACAGAGAGAAAAAAGGAAGTATCGCCTCCATACAAAATGGGGGGGGGGGGAAGAATAGACAAAGCCTTTGCATATAGTGCTGCTTTTATCAGCCTGACTATTTCCAGGAAGCAGCTGTCTCAGGCTCCAGACACTGCTCTGCCAAAAGCCAAAGAGCCACCTGAGTCATTTAAAGGTTTCCTACAGGTGCTCCCAATAATTACATAAGAGAAGAACACCTATGCTCCATACCCAGGTTTATCTTCTATTATACTACAGTGAAATGATAATTAAAATGGACCTTCATCAGTTTTTATCAGACTTGAAAGTGGTAGTTTAGCAAACATCAGATCATACTCTTCTACATAAATAGTGTCAGAGTCATGTGCTGCAGATCAGGTATAAGGTGAATCGAGTGCTTTTGGGGAACTTGTTCTGCAAATTCCCATATTGTGACTCAATTTGGCTAGTGCTTTCGGCTTCTCACTTTCAACACTGAGCCAAAATCTTTTGTGAAAAGTGATTAAAAATATATATCTTACTAAAATAAATGCAAAGAACATATGGCAAGTGAGCTTCAAAGACAAATACAGTTTCTAGGGCTTATAGTGCTTCTGCCAACTTTAGCACTATTTTTAGCATAAATTGAAAACAAGGTTCTTTTAACTAAACATTTTGGCAGCCATGGCACTGATTCAATTAATCTCAAAACAGAGAAATGCCAAAAACTATATTAACTCAGAATCTTTGACAAAGTCCAGACTTTCATGTCCTTAGAGGAATACTAGTCTTATGAAAAATGAATTCAATTTGTATGAAAATTATCTTCTTTTTCAAGTTCCTTCCCAGTTCTAAGATCTAGAACGGGTCACCCTGAATGTGACTACAGCTTTTTGATTTCGCTTAAGCTGGTGAAATGAAGAGTCAAATATTTCAAATGAAAAGTAAAAAAAGCAGCAGTGTCTCAGAGAAAAAGACATTTCTACTGAATTCCTTAATTTAAGAACAAAATAAAACCAATGAAAATTTAATAATGTACCTCAATAAATAAAAATAAATGTTGTTGAAAAATTAGTGGTTTGAATATTAATGTAATTGTACAGTTTTGGTCATAAGAACAACACACACTTTCCTTGTCCATAAATCAACATTACACTGAACTGCAAAAGTCAGTGTAAAATCAGGTAACACATCACACATGAGAATTAAATATTTCCCTGTACAATGAACTTCATGTCTTGAATTTTCACATATACCCACTTCTCCTCAAAAGCTTCATTTTTTCAGTGTGTAGACACAAAAGATGCTTTTGCCAGCATATTTACTGACCTGACAGACAACATAAGGCTTATTTTTAAGATGATGCAAGAAAGTCCGCATACATACTTCTTTACACATTGAGCTTTCTGAAAAGTTGAGAGAGATGCACAAGGACTACTTTGATTTTAAGGAGCCTGGTTCTACTTGTGTACATGAGCTTAAGTTTTTTTTTTAACTCTTCTTTTAAGCCTCCTTGCCTTATCTTTATGGAAGGTAAGATTATGTATGCTAGTGGCCAAAGTCCATACAATAAAAGCTCACATACAATAACTTGGTCAAACTGACTAGTCACTACATGCAAAGCCAGTGGAACTTCAAGAACATGCAAGGATGAAAGAGAGTGGAGCGACAAGCTGATGCCCACAAAGCATATTTGTGGAAAAACCTCACAAGCTGAAGGAGCTGCTGTTTGAAAGACCAGAGTCAAGTTTCACTAGGTTATACAGGAAATATATGAATTTTGAAAGTGTTAGTCCACTTCTTTCCACCTCCAGAAGATTCTTCTGGATAACTCTGGAAGGATGACAGGTCACAACTCACAAGATTCCTGAAAACAGCTGATATAGTGTGATAATGAATGTAGCAAGATAATTACCATACCATGATAATATGGCACATAATGCAAATCATTCTTCACCTTTCCTTTCAGCTACAACAAAGATTATTTTATTTGCATTAAAAAAACCAAGAGTTACTGCTACTGCAAAACAAGGAGGAGCAAATATGAAGCGTAAATGTGCACAGCAGTTTTTATTCTTCCTAGTTTGTTTCAGTGCAGTTTCCACATTACTGCTTCCACGCCTCCTTTTTTCCTAAAAGATATTCTCCTTTTTCACCTTATAATTTGGGATATTTCTTCTTTCTCTAGAGGGGGGAAGAACAGGAAAATGTGTGACCACCATTGCCACCTCAATTCTTAACCTTTTCTCAAATTTTCCATTTTTCAAATGTCTAGGTGTGCACAGAGAATGGACACAAAAGTTGACCTCACTCAGCTGCTGCCACTGCTTTGTTACACTAGTAGCTGGCCAAGAATCTGACTGCTTACCTCCATGTGGGTCCTTTGTTCTACACCTACACAAGTCACGCCTAATTTGTACAGGCCTAAAGTAAGAATGACAACCAAATAAAGTTTAGCATGCACTTCTTGAACTTTGGAAATTATAGCAACAACCCATACCACTGAACCACATTCCCTCAAATATTTTGCAAATAAGGGCAGGCTTCCATTTCTCATGGATTTTTCATATTCATGTATGCAAATGCACATCAATTTGAAGAAATTTATCTTCACTTGCAGAAAAAAATGGTATAACTTCAGACCCCTCTCATTTTCTCAACAAATACTGAAAGAAAACTAAAGTGTCAGCATTTGCAAGCTTCACCATCTGTACATAGTTCTACAATCTGAACCAGACACATCATGAAAATTAAAAAACAAAGCAATATATCCTTCTTAAGAAGCAAATGCACTCTAATAAAAAGAATAAGACCGAATACAATTTTCACAGAAATCAGAGCAAGTTATACAGTAACAATTACAGACTATATAAATTAAATCATCCATTTTACTGGAGATAATGAAATCTCATTTTTATTAATAATTTGTTGAATCGGAAAAGAAATTCAGAATCAAATTGCCAATGAAGAAAGTAAATAGACTAGAATATTCTTGACCTTCAATAAAAAAAAGCAAACCAGTAAATGCCAACTCTGCTCTATGTAGACAACTCTCATTATTATTAGAGACATAGCCTCAAAAAGTTATTAAGTCTTCAAAAACATGCTCTCCAGAAAGTCAGATGCATTTGCAATGAAACAACCGTCCCACCTAATTTCATGTTAGTCATTTTCTTAATAAAATAACATTTGACTTTTCCACCTTTAATTCAGTTGGACAGTGAGGAAAGGAGGGAAACTACATTTTAACTTCAGGAAGGATGCTGAGGTGCAATACAAAAATATTTTAATACAATTTTTAAAGAATGACATAGTTCAAGTTTACAAAATCTTGGCAATCTTTGGGAAGTTTCAAGCTGTATTTTCTCTTTCAGTTGAACTGATATGGCTATGTAACTTGACTTAAACAGGGATAAGAAATGTATGAACTTGTTGTGCCTTGTTACAACATTACTTGCCTAATACAACTCACATATTTTCACTTTGTCAGGAGGCATGCTGTAGCCTACACATTTGAACCTCCTTGTCCAGAAACAGACAGTTCTTCAACCACTGCAAAAAGTGAAGCTTTGCATAGGCTTTTTTGACCTCGCACTGTGACCCTCATACCAGCATCCACAGGCTATAGGTCACGACCTCAAGAATTAGCATCATGGAAATAAGAGCCCTTCCAGGTTTAGTTACAGAACAGAACACTGTAGCAACACAGTCTTTTCTAAACTGAACTCTGCAGCTTTGTTTTAACTCCACTAGAAGACAATAGATAACCCACACTTCAGCTTTCATTACTCATGCACTAAATCGTCTCCTCCCCAACTACAGGTCTGAGCTCCCACTGCACTATGAAAACATTCATTCAGTACGGATCGAAAGCCAATATCATATGGCCACTAGCTGATCCTATTAAAAGGTTAAAGAAACATCACTATGGAATTGAAGACTTTTGCAATGTGAAGAAAAAAGGCTGAAATAAGTTATCCCTATTAAAATTTTATCTCCAAAGCAGGCTGCTTTCCTCGGAGGAAAAAAAAAAAAAAAAAACCACAAACAAAAAAAAACCCGAACTACTGCTAACTAAGCCAGACTTAGCCAGCTCCATTTATATCAAATTCTGAACTGTATTTCTAAACTACTCTGTCCATCAGTGAGCGTTCTCAGATGTGTTTAAGGAGGTAAACGGGCCCTAGCTTTGAGCGATGGTTTGAGGGGAGAACTTTGCAACCGGGAAGCTTTTCCCCGCTGCCCTCAGCAGGGGGAGCCAGCCCCCTCGGCCTC